TTAATAGTAAATTTAAATAAAAATATATTTTAATCAGTCAGGAGAATGTTTAATGTACGGCGACTGAACAAATTAACAGTTATGCTAAATTGTATTAGTAACAATGACGTCAGCGGCATTGACTGCTATAAAAAACATATACAAAAAGTGTATTTCATTAAGATGGCTGCATTAAAAAGAGCATTTACTGAATCAAGATAAAACCTATTTATCTTAATGATTAAAAAAATTGTTAGGGAATAATTATAGCAATATATTGTTTTAATGATATAGCTATTTAGTTTTGCCAAGTTTATTACAACTGAGGTCTGCATCAGATGAAATCATTAAACCAATTCTTCTATAAAAATTTACGGTGTGTCTTGTGAGACTATAAGATCGAGGTAAGACTTTTTTTTATGATAAAAGGGGCAACCGATCAGAAGGAGGAGGACATTCTCAAAAGTATTTTGCGGATGCGTTGCTGTCCTTGATTGGGGAAGAGGGAGAGGAAAGGTTGGGAAAAGGCTAAAGGCTACGTCCAAGGGTAAAGTTACGACTACGTCATGCCGATCTTCTGTGAGAAGGTGGTACTTCCCAGACTAACCTTCTCTACTGAACATATTGGTAAAATATTTGCTTAGTCCTTTATCTAAACAACTTTTAAGCGATCCCGCTGCTATTCTACTTCATTCACAATAATTTGTTAGCTGGACTAATTACGGTAGTGTAAGCACTTCCTCAAAGAATAGAATACTAGTTTTAACGGTGTATACAACATAACAAGACAAAATGATTTAATAGGGCAAAGCTTATATTGCTGTTTGTGGCAAAATAAATTAAAGTACTTATTTGGATGTACATACATATATAAATTGTAGGAAATAGATTTTTAGAGATTTAGAGTTTTTTTCGATGAGGCAGACATTTACAGACTGTAAACAGAATATAAGAAGGTTGATTAATGATTATTTTCTGCACGAGCTAAGTCTCTTCATTGACATAATGTACGATAGATTCCCCTTTCCACATTCAAGGAACAACAACAGATGCAAAAAGGACAATTTAAAAACATTTAATATATTTCCGGCCTTTCTTATAAAGAAATATTGTTAGCATGTACACTCGACTTAGAATTAATTCTTGTAGTACCTTACCTCAGGAGAGGGACTATTACGCACCACATTAATTTCTATTTTAGTTTCTCTTTCAAAAGGACTCCGAAACTAAATAGGTAAACTTCTTAGTCTCATGTAGTATCGAATAATAAAAACTGTTATTTTATTTTCATTACCACTGCTGGTGGTACCATTTTTTTTTACAGAATAGTTTGTTTCGCATTAGTATTTACTTATTTAGTAAAAAAAAATACGTCGCTAATGAATACACAGTTCGAAAAAGGTATCACTGAAAGTATGTAAGTATATTTTTCTTTTAGTTTTGACAACATAACGTTATGTAAAACGACATCTATACATATTTTCTGCGATTAAATCGAACAAGTACATTACATGCATACAAAGTTGATGTGAACTAAATCTTTCCTTGGTTCTCACACTTACGTAGCTGTCTAGTCAGTTAATTACGTCACTTGACGGTAGATGGCGCTGTTTTAAATAATGTAAGATGAACAACATTTTGTGAGTTTAAATAAACATACTTATTGAAATCACGTTATGTAATTTGTTTTATGTTAGAAAGTAAATAAGTTCATACCATTAAACAATTTGTATGAATATGTAAAACATCTTTAGTAAAAATGGTTTCTTCAAACAAATTTACCTATTATTTCGTTACCCATTTCTGAGTTGTTCAAATCAGCGATAATAGCATTACAAACTAAGTAAATTGATGAAAATAGGTCAAAAGACCCAAATTAACTTCCACCATTATTACTACGAAGTCAGGATGCCATAACAAAGAAACAAAACCCATTCTGACGCTTAAGGGGAAAAGTAATCAAAGTTTTGCGGGAAAATCGGCAATTTTTCGCAACAATTCGACGTTCTCAAATACTGCATAGTAGAATGACGATTGTTCGAGACCTTTACTGTTCACGGAATGCATACGATTTAAAAAAAATTATTATATATTTTTGTACTTATCGCGTAAATTATGAAGATTTCTTTTTAGTAATTAAATTAATGTACTTTGCTCACTTTTTTAATCTACACTGCTAGGGATTATAATAATTACCTAATTCATGCTTTGAAGTTACATTTCAGGGAAATTGTTTTATTTGAAAAGGATTTTTTGCCGACAATTAATTATTTTCTAATCGATCAAGTTCTTGTATCTAAATTTTCGCTTCATAGTATCGTGTCGTGTTTGTTGAACGAATGTAAATCACAACGTTACAAAAGTTTCAATTGAATATCTGCTTCCTGAAATATTCACTTTCACTTTTATTTCCAACAATTTGTTAGAATTATTTTTTTTCGAATTGTTCAAATTATTTGTTTGCTTGTATAACTTGTTTTCTCATAGTAATTATATATTTCTTTAAAGTTTAAGAGTATATAATTTTTTATAAAAATATTATTAGTAGAATTTATTACAGTAATTTAAATTAAGTGTTTTTTTAAATCAAAGGTGGCTAATAAGCAGGCGGCCTATATGATGAAAGGCAGTCACCGTCGCCTATGAACATCTGAAACATAAGGGATGTTCCAGATAAGTTGCCAACCTTGATTGTAGATAAAAGAGTGTAAAGGGAAAAGGGAAAGAACAACCGACTCTCTCACTCATCGGACTATTCGCAGCCATTAAAGACTACTTCACGCCGATCTTCTGTGAGAGGGTGGTACTTCCCCAGTCTAGCCAGCTCATCTTCGAGCTGTAGTAACTTAACCACAGCTAGGCTTTACCAACTTTTTAGTGTTCTTACATTGTATCCTTTATGTACTAAACTAAACTAAAGTCTTAAATAATCATGTTAGCTACAGTTGTTTTTCTGTATTAATTAGTAATTACATATACATAATAATTTTCCAACAATGTTCAATTATATCCTGGTTATATAAAGCTACATTATCTTGTTTTATATTATATAATGGAAGTAATGTCGTAAACGTTTGATAAAATACCTCTTGTATCTTTTATGGGCACTATTGATATTTACGAAATTTTTGTATGTTGGAAAAAATCTCTTCAATCATATAAATATATGAATAAAAATGTATATTATTTTTATCCAAACATAGTACTTATATCTAATAAAATAAAGAATATGTGGTAAAAGCAGGAATAATACGTACATGCATTGATTTGTCCTATTAAATAAATAAATGAGACACATTTTCAAATAAATCTTTATAAACCGGCTGCTTTTCACCTAAAGATATATTTTCCTTCACTTACATCGAAATTACGTTAGCTCACCTTATTGATGTAGTGATGTGATCTATAATATTTATTATACGATAAAATAAAATGTAATGAAAATCAATATTATAACCTTTGTTACTTTTTAAGTAGCATTAAGATATAAGTTTTTAATATTACGTGTCAGTCAATTCTATTAATTAATATAAAATTAAATTACAATAGATGAAAGCAAACTTAGTTACATATAAAAATATCTATACTTTTACCAATCTCAGTGTATTACATTAGGAATTTTAATCTCAAATAGAAGTTATTTAAAGAATTTTACTATCGATAAAATTTCCCATCACTTGACTATAGGAAGCAATCTTCTTATTTACAAGCCAGCATCGATGTTGGATATGTTGATACGGACTTATTAGATTAACAAAACATTCAGCGGAGAGGATTTAAGATCGACTATTATATACGAAATAACATTACATATTGAGTTTCTTCTTTCTGGCATTTTCCCAGCTTTAGCCAGGGTCTGCCTTACATGTTGTGAATAGTTTTGGCTAATTGTTTTTACGATCGGCCGCCTGAGATCAACCCTCTTCGGGAATGCATTAATAATTGAGTTTATTTCAATATAAATATTGCGTTAAAACTTCATTGTGATGAATAGGATTTTAATTTGCAACCACGGATAATGTATTTCTAGTTGTGTGAATAATTAAATTATCTTGTCACACTTCTCCATAAATACTATACGGGCAGACTTAAAACACACATTTAGATCATATCTTGTGTATACAAACAAGACGTAAATTAACAAACTATTGGTGATGGATAAAAAAATAAGATAAAGACTAAATGATGAACAATTTTGTAGCCTTTTTCTAAAACTCCTATAACATGAATATTTTACGAAATCTAAAATATTGTTCTTGTTCCTTCAATTAAATAATTTAAAAACAACACAAAAATGTATGAAAGTGTGATTATTATGTTTGTCAGTTTTGTTTAACAATTATATTTCAATGTTCAACGTCGTAGGTTATACAAACTGTTATCAAGTTATGTTAAATATTTATGTATAAATGTTCGCAATGTTTACGATCATAATATAAATCGATAATAATTTTTAAGATGTTCCAGTTACACGTGTTGTGTTATTATTTTGTTAAATATTAATGATAAATTAAATATTAATACTAACAAACTTATCCCTCGTCTATTTTTATGGTGTTGAGGAAGCAGATTTTTTTCTAAATATATATGTATAATATATTATGTAATTGCTTTTTTAATCACTCAATTAAATAGCCATTGGTTATATGTACTAGTGATCTTTAAAATCAAAAGGTAAATTAACATTATTCTTAGAAGAAACAACGTATTCAACAAAATACCAATTCCTTGCAAAATTTGATATTTTGTTTAATTTTCTTTCTATTCAAAGGATTAAAATAAAGTCAAGTATCTATAATAAATAAGTTAACTAACAGTTTCAGCGCCTACAAGTAACGTACTACCAAGTAATTGAACAGAAATACATATTTTAATAATATAAATTAATACAAAATTTAAAAGCATACAACTAGTGTAAGGGGTACATCCTTAATGAGACATAAAAATGCTTAACATAATTGTAGACATTCTCAACGTTATTTATAAAGACAGTTACTGTTATTTAATTATCATTTGAGACAATGTTTCTTTTAATACTACTGTTATATACTATTCCTTACACACAGGGCAGGTATGTTATTTCAGTTTATGGAGATGTTTATAATGATAAGGAGTTCTTCTCTAGAGTGTTCCCGTGGATTGTCGATAATATAGGTGGAGACATTAGTGTTGATTATTACTTGTTAGGAAGCGGACGATACTCGGTGCCACAGATGTGTGCACTCAACGAGATGAAGATGAACATATTTTTACAAGCACAGTATTTAAAATGTGAAGCTGAAGGTAAGGTGGAACTTTCTCCTCTCATTCAAAACTAACTATCGAACTATATTTTTCTTGTTGTAGAACTAAAATTTGTCAATGTATTATCCTGTTATATACTATACTGTAAACTCACTATTCCACCCCAATTGAATCGAAACAAACGAACAAAATTGCACCATGTTACAATAAACGATAGACTCAAGCCAAAAACAAAAACACACGTTCGTTCATTATGTGATGTTAAAGTATCAGTAGTATTTAGATTTATATTCAACTATCCTCGTTCATATACTTGTATAGCATTTTTATTGGTATTAAATAAATCAACAGGTAACCCAAGTGACAAATGTCTCTGTGAGACAGGAATAGATCCCGAAAAGTACAGGATCTGTGTTCAAACTAAAGGAAGCTACGCTGGGATGTCATCAGCAAAATTTTCACAACTAGGCCTCGACATCAGCCCGGTTATTGAAATAGGATACAAGAACACTATATTCGGTGTTGAGGACAGTTGGTACTTGAAGAAAATCTGTACAATCTTTGGTGACAACCCCCCAAGAGGTTGCGTCAAACCTTTCTCGTGCAATAATACGAATATCGAAAGTGACAGGAAAGGTCTTGCTGTTTATAACTGCGACAAGTGTCACACAAGCCTGGCCATAGATAGATCCATAGAATTATTAATAAGAAACGAAGATGTCCATAGAACGACGGTGCCTACAGAACTAGAGTATACAACGGGTACATAAAATTATATATTTTGTATTTGTTAACATTTATAAAGACTTTTGGTAGTTTAAAAACAAACTGTCTCATTAAGTATGTGCGTAGTATGTGTACATATTATGTAGTTATTAATACGTTTCATATTTTTATGTATTTAGTTGGTCCATAACGGAATATTCTCTGAGTGTTAGAGACATTTAAATGTCATCAAACGAGCATGTTCTATAATAATAATCTATAAATCGAGATTTATTATTTATTACAAAAGCTGAGACCTTATTTTTATTGATAATTTTTTAAAAGACGTTTGTTATTGAGCTTCAACATTACACAATTTACTTTTTATTTAAGCACGTCAGTCCAAATAATATACATTTTTTAATAAGTTGACTAAAGCTTTTTATTCTGTCTAATGTTGATTTATTTATATTACAGAATATCCGAGGACGAAGTTTGATTCTGGAAAATGATAATATAGGTGACGGAAATTAATAATTTGAAATCGTCTGTTTTTTTAGTTTTTTTTCTACCCAATTTATTTTATCATACGTTTATTCTCTATGGCTTGGAAACTAAGTTTATCTTATAATAAAACAAAACAAAAAAGTACGGAATAAAACCATAGAATAATTAATAATTATATATCTTTTATCGTTCATTTTTAAGGCATATTTCATTTAAGTTGAATAAAATTATTTTGGTATATAAGTTAACATTAAACGTACCACATACATATGTATATGGTTGCGACAAAAAATATATTCAAGCAAACTATAATGTGAAATGAAAATCATTAATCAATTTTCTTACAGTAAATTATTTTACCATTTAAAGTAAGGGAAGCGTTGTAATAGAATAAACGTTTTTAAGATATCAATCATAATAAATCATACATTCTTATTCCAACCTTTTCTTGACCAAACCTTTCTTGAAAATAATATTATGATCCCTCGACTCGTGGATGTTATTTATAAATCAGGAGGCTCGAGCCTCACTAAATTGCATTTCTGATTCAGAAACCTCGCCTTGTTCATAAAAAATGAAATATTCTTTATAACTTTATTTCAATTATAAGGTTTTCTCTAGAGATAATTCCATATAATCAGAAATTATTAAATGTTGGTATTGTATAAACTGCTTTTAAAATACCAACCAGTATAAACCGCTTGTACAACAACAGAAATATAATTTTACGGTTCTGTTGTTATGATTTAAAATTAAAAAAAAAATAATCTTTGCTATCTATATAACAAAATAATATTCGTTTCAATATGATGATACACTTTCAGTATTAACAAGAACTCAAAATAACATGTCTAAAAACTGACACATACTTTCAACTCATCTATCCGTGATTACTGTTGCTGTAAAGGAACCGAAACGTTTGGAGGAATAAATTAAAAAAAGGCGTGTAGTATATGTGAAAATATTAGTTTCATTTAAATGAATACTACCGAAAATATTGGAAATGGTTTAATGAAATTTAATAAATCCCGTAGCATCCATTTCATCGTATAATTAAGTACACTTAATTTTATCATCATATTATTATATTTATTGTATTAATGAATTAGTGTAGTGTATGAATTATCACAGAATGCATTTGAAGTCATTAACAAGCCTAAGGTAAACAGTGCGGTGAATTAAGGTTGACATAGGACGTTATGCAATTGTCGTTAGCGAACGCACTGGTGTCGGTATATTCATGATGAATGATATGGAGCTATACAGCTCCATATCATTCATCATGAATAACATACATACGTATGAGACGAAACCTCATAACATTCAATGTATTCACCTTGTCCATAGTTGTAGTGAGAGGAGCTTTAACAGTGCCTGGGATTTGCGATCCACGTGTAGGTTTAAGGGGCACCTATCTAACTATTGAATATGTAAAAAATTAGTTCATTCTAAGTGTGAAACAGTCCTCGTAATAACATAGTATTGTCTGAAAGAATCTTCTATAAATGAATTACTTATCCATGTCTGTAGAATTTAATTGTTTTAATTGAATATTTTTGAAATAACTCATACAAGAATTTATATAGAGTTGACAAAACTTTGGAAACAATGATTTAAGATCATCTTTATACAACAACTCATCCTTTAAGTTTATTTATTTCAAGGAATATTAGTTGTAACATCTTTATGTATTCGTAATCAATATTCCGACACAACCCGCATTGGTAGTGAGACACCGGCTCTTCAATTGTTACGCACAACCAATTCAGGAACGCGTTACAATCTCGTCTTATATACATATTGTATTTATAATGAATTTAAATTATTAAATATTATACATAAACATGTATTCAAATTAATTAATCAAATCAAATTAATTTGTGTTTAATACTCAGTTTTTTATGAAAATTATAATGATTATAATATAAACACTTTTAAGTGGGTTTGTCTGAATTAAAAGATTTTTTCCTTAAATAGCTCGTGTTGTTCTGGTGCAAATGAAAATCAGTACATTTAAAACTAATTAAATATACATATGTAAATGCACCAGTTGTTATTATTAAATGAAATGTAACCAGTTAAATATGATAGTATATTACGTATGAAACATCAGAAAGCTAATGGCGTCTGTGAATGACGGGGCACAATGAGTTCACTGCGGCTGGCTAGGTGCTTGATGTACGCTTAAAACTCTCAACTTACTTTATATAACACGTTGTTTGTATAACTTATTTACTTTATAATTTTACAAATGTATTAAAATATCAAATTAGTTTTATAAAGGTAAAGTGTGTGTAATGTACAAAAGAAATTTATTTTATTGAATAAACTTGTTTCACTTCAAAGGCTTTGTTTTAGTTGAGTTTTCGTTCTTGGAAAGTTTAAAATTCAATAGTCTCCAAGGATGTTCTGTACCATTTTTGAGGTATGAATAGTTTTTATTATGTTTTTAAATTACCATAAAGAAATGTCACAAAGCCTGATATAAATTTAAAGTTAATTAATGTATGTATATAACCATTGTTAACATAACATTATTTTATGTTAACTTGAAGTATTAATTGTAATCAATTTCTATGAATAAAGAATGGTAAACAAAATATTGATAGGTATTTTGACATTCAGCTCCATCAATTATATAATCCACAGCATTTTCAAAAAGATTTAAGTTCATTACAGATGTGTGAAGGCTGTTCAGAATATTATGTTTTTTATTATTATAGACTGTGATAACTCAAATATTTTTTAGGAGACTCACAATTAATATTCTTTTATCATTATAGAATTATTACTATTTTACTGATACAGGTACTGAAATGGTGTAATTTTTAATTATTTATCTGTATTTGACTTCGATAATAAGTACTTACTTTTTGTCTAGATTATTATTAAATGAAAAAGTTATCAGAAAGGAAAACGAAAATTTCCTTGGCACCATTGTATTAATAAAGATATATTATCATGTTGATATAGGGACCTTTTCGCATCACCCCATCATAGGAATGAAAAGATAATATGAAGCACATAAAAATTATTGTAAAAAAATCGAAGCCTTTACTGTAAGATAAATAGGTTCTAGTTTTTTATGTTAATAAAAGTTTCATTAAGTCTTTAGTTTTCCAGCAACCTCTGGTTGTTGGTTGTCAAACATACATAAGTTATAAGGTTTGTGGTCAATATATGGAAATAGAAATAAAAATTAAGTTTAATAGAAAATAAAATAACAATTTAAGTTTAATTTATTATTTAACATTAATTAATTATTATAGGACTACTCTTATGAACCACTTAGATATCTGAATGTTTTCATCTAATTGCGATTTGCTTGTATCTGTAATACAAAATATACTCAACTTCTGACCAATTTACAGTAAATTAAATGTATTTGGGCTTTCCGAGAACCTATACTTATGTTCGAAAAAACCTATGAGTACTAAAAAGAGTAATAAAAACACTGAAAGGTGCATATTTATAATTTTATTCGCTTAATAAAAAGAATACAGTGAATAAATAATTAAATGTTCAAATCTGGTTTAATAAAACGTAGTATTTAACTGAACTTTTTTATTGTACCCCTAATACCAAACAACGGGTATCATATACTATACATTTGATAAATTTCCATTTAATGTGTTTACGTTTAATTTGCGTGGATAAGATTGTATTCTAGAAAGTACTTTAAAAGAAATATTAATAAAAGTACCCAATGAATATTACACATCGCGTATAAAATAACAGTCTTTTAATATAAAAATAACATATTTAATTTTATAAATAATATCCATACTATGCTGTACTAATTGCGTTTCTGTGAAAATAAGCCTGTCACATGTCAATATAAACTATCAATAACTTTGTATTGATTACTGTTTGAATAATGCAAATGGCTGTTATGAAAGAAACTTAAAAAACAATACGAATTCAATTTAAATTTTAACATTTGTGAATAAAAATTATTATAAAAATGAAAAAGCTTTTTAAAATTTAAAAAATCGAGACAGATTTTGTATTTTTTATGTATCTTTAAAAGGTTTTTTTATTGAATAAATGGAGAGAGTTTTAAAATATATTAATTCATTTTTTAAATTTCTAGTAGTTTTTAATAAAATATCATTGAAAACTTCTTTCTTCACTTTATTTATAACTTTTAATATTTTTCTAGAAATGATTATTAAAATTGATAAGCTAATTCGATTTGACCCACAGTGATCGAATGTTTGTTTCAAAAGAGTGTTAGTGGGGAATTTTGTTAGATAAATGTGACTTTATTGATAAACACATTATCAATTACAAACCTTGTAGATATTAAAATAGGTGTGTACTTTATTTTAAGCTAAACGTACGAATCTCTACGTATAACAAACAAAGTGATAGGGTGAAAATATTAAACCATTAACGACAACTTTTGGTGTCTACAGACAACAATTTTCTCAACATCCCATCTGTATTTACACCGATAGTTACTTACAAAAAAATATTAATGTTAAGATATTTGAAGCAAAATTATTGTACTAAATTATTTCATTATAATATTATTTATTTGCTTGTATCTGTTAATATAAGCATTATGGAAAATTTATGTGTATTATACTTATACGTCTTTTTGTTATTTATATGAGTATCGAAGATTTTCCAGGTAGGTGTGTTCTTTTATCCCTTAGAGATCAGCACTTCAGTGTCTTAGTGGATACATAAACTTGCCGATATGACATACACTCTCAGGAGAGATGGTAGATCTACACAGGATTCTTTACATTACTTTATTATAAAGGCAGCTCTTGATGTACAACAGATATGATTTATCTTAATATGCAGATACAAAAGAAAATCTAGAAATCTGGGATAGTGATTTTTTATATTTTTAGTTATTTAAACTGTCCCAAAAATTTGGAAGGTATATACCTGTTGATTAATTTAAAAATCATACAAAATTATAATAAAATAGTTGATAACTAGTTACTCTTGTTAAAAGAGTGAGCGTAAACTATTCACACATATACATATTTACAATATATATAGTATTTGTAATTAATATAAATATATGTATGTAAATAAATGAACGGTGTGATAGACGGCCCCATTTACTCTAAACTTGCACCGTACTTCTTCTCACTTCAAACGACATATTCATATTTAAATTTATGGTCAAACTTTCAATAGTTAGAGGCTGCAGGAAGCAATATAAGTTGCTTTCATTGTTCTACTTTTGAACTTGGCGCTTTAAGAAGTTTTTAATTTGTTATTGTGTTATATAAAAGCCGGTGTGGTTTGAGTGTTTGTGTATATTTTTAACGGTTCAAGTTGTTATAGACGAAAGAAGAAGTTTGAAGTTTAAAATTTGTGTAAGGTTTGTTTTAAATAAAATTATGTTTGTGAAACTGGAACTGTTAGATGAGGAATTTGAAATATATGTAAATGGATGCTATCTGATTATGGATGATTCCATTTATTTATTAGAAATAAATAATACAATAAAATAGTGAGATGATTTAGATTCGATTTCTATTTCTACTCCGTCTTTAGAAAGATTGTTGAGAAAGTCCAAAGAAATCAATTCCGTGTTTTAAGTTAATCTAGCTAATTTGATTATTCAAAATAATAATCTGTATTTATAAAAATTACTTTTCCTTACTATAAATTTGAAATATGCTTTTATTTTACGACATTAAACTAGAAAAACTCACAAGTTTCTTTATAATCGGTACTTGCATATAATTCAAGTTTTCCTTTTATTTTTTTTTTGTGTATTAGATATTGCTTTAGGAATATAATTTAAACAAAATCTATCGAAGTAAATATGTCACTATTATTCATAACTTTCACCAGCATCTAGGTAGGTCCCTTCGTGTTTAAGTAAGCTTGCAAACTAAACAAAACTGGAAGAAAAGCGAGTATTCGTGTTATCATTTCTCTCACCATATTTTCCATAGAAAGCCCACATATTTTCCCTTGAATTTATTGCGAGTGTCCGCCGTTATTCACAATTTAATTTTTCATCCTATTTAATGTTACGTATCCTCCGCATATGTTAATCGATTGTTACACCACAGTTTCTTTTTATGTGGTGTGCTTCTCATTTACATTTCGTTGCCCTTATTCACAGAATATTTTGATGTTTATAAATCAAATTTTAAGATTAAATTTATTATTTTTTAAGAACAATTGAGCATAATTTGACCAATTTAATTTCTTTACACTTTTTTTTATTACTTTATAAATATGTAATGTCTAACGCTTTATTTTTAATATTATTTTGGTGGTATTAAGTTGAAGTTTTATCAATGCATTTCTTAAACCAAATACCTACTTAGATTGTGTTACATAAATGTATCCCTGTAGCATAAATTACTCTAAAATTTCATTAGACTTCTGAATTTTTTTGTCCAATATTATGTACCGTACACCGTATTTACCTATAAGTAACTAACAAAATATATCGTATTTTGTTAGTTACTTATAGCTTTAATATTTGTTTAGGACTGACGGTTTCAGGTATATATTTTATGTTTTAAGTGTTTTAGTAGTCTGTATAAGCGATTTTATTTGTGTGTTTTGAAAAAAAAATAGTTGTTTAGTTTTTAACATGTCAGTATTTATTATTTAAACTCCTCTTTTCTGAAGTAATACTATAACTGTTATTAAAAAAAATACTTTGAAAGTTTTAATTGTTTAAACACATATTTATAACGACTAGCTATCGACGATCGCGTACATTCCTTGCGCCAGTCTTTATTCCTTCCCAAGTCTCCTTTGCATATTGTTCCACGAGTTCGGGTTCAACCAGAAATCCTAAAAGACCTGATCCATATCTAGAAGCAGGCAGCTCATAAACATAAGAGTATGGTATGTTAGCCCGGTTCGCATAGTCCATGGCTGTTCCTGAAGCCGGGTATAAAATAAGTCCAGCGTTCCCAACTGTATAATTTCGATTAAATCCTAATTTCATTTCATCAATAACTTTAGCCATGTTTAAACCGATCTGTTGCAAAGAGAATGCATTAGGCAGTAAATCTCCACTGCCCCAACCATAAAGAATCAAACTTCCAAAGCTGTGGAGGTCTATGAAGAGATCGATACGATTTTTATATTCATCCATAATTTTGCTTATAATGACTGTCTCAGGTTCAGAAGATGGACGGGATCCATGAAAGGTTTCGGAGCATACACTGCTGCTTGAGCCACTTCCCCACATTATATCGAAATTTCTGTTCAGGTCCACACCGAGACAACTGTTCCCAGGAAAATAACCAGTAGCACGATTCTTTCGCCAGAAACGGTTCTGTAAAATACATATTATACATATATATAACACTGTTATATAAATATCAATATGGCTGTGACGAACGTCAACGAACATCAGTATTTTGATGTTATTCTTACCCCATCGTGTGTCAATTCATATCCATCTGGGTTAGCAACAGGTAATATAATCCAATCTATGGTGTCTATCAGATCAGATTCTGTGACATTTACAACCAATTGCTCAATGGCCCAGAGTGTTGGTGGGAGTGTCACCCATTCGCGAGCATGCAGAAGCGATTCAACAAAAACTATTGGTTTTTGTACATCCTAGAATAGATATTATATTTTCTGTTACTTTAAAAAATAATGTCACAATCTGATTTTAAATGATAATGTAAGATATTTTGTTATACCTGGAAATTAGTTGATGAAATTTTAAGATACTTAATGTCTCTGCCTTCGAAAGATTTTCCAGCATTAACTAGTGTTACAGTATTTGGATATGATTCAGCCAGAGTCTCGAGGTATGCATCTACCTGGAATTTTTCAAGTTGCAATTTTAAAAATTAACTTAAGGTAACTTTCACGAATAACTATTTAGTATAGTATGGAAGTGCGTTTACTGGCCAGTATGTTTAATAGTTACAACAATAATAAAGGCTACAGTTACTCAAAGAAATCATTATTATTAGGGAATTTTATTTACGCTACCAATTTGGTGAGAAACTGAGTACTCTATATCTACAGATAAGGGGAAAACTATTTTCACATTATTGTAATGATTAAAAGTCTAATCGCAAAATCCGTTAAATCTTATCGCAAAGCCATCTAAGGAATTGGATTGCATTGAAAACTGCTGCGAATATTTATATTTTAATATGTTATTGTGATTGGTTTTAAAAGTCAACTTTATTGGCACTTACTTCAGACAGTTTATAAATTCTGTCGAACCCAATTTTCCCTCTAAATCCTGATCTGACGGGATTTTTGCGAAGCGCTCTCTCATTTAATGTATCTTCTAAATCTAAAGCCCTAAAATTATATTAAAACATAAATCTGTTGGGAAATTTTGGCTTACATTCCTTTTTACTAATGTCTATTCATATTCGTATCTTTCTTTATCTTTAATTATAAATTACATGTCCTATCTTTATTATTGTTCGTAGATTACTTGTGGGTTTTCCCTTCGTATATGAAATTTCAACAAAACAAAAAAACCTAATTTTACCAAAAAGCTACGTACGACAACTAGTTACGGTAATTTTTATTTTATTAAGAATAAGTTATAGTATTAATCATATTTAAAATAACATAAATTTCATTTTAAGTAATTTTCAGTTTCAGTAATGAAATAAAAATTGATAAATAAGAAATTTATACTCATAAGAATAATAGTTATGTGTAATAACAATAATTATTATTAATAAACCAAAGTTTTATCAAAATTCAAAGAAATAATCGGCAGGAGACAATTTAATGTTGACCTCAATATAGTCTTAATATTAAAAACGTTATTATAATTCAAGGAAAAAATATGAGTTCTACACAATATTTTAGGGCATCGTATGTTCATACTCCATAATTTATAACATTTACTCCTTATCTTACCTCATATTTCATTTTATTTAATAAGCTGATAGTATTGTTTAGTGCTTTAATTATTCATATTATTATAAAGACGACATATTACCTTTTAATATTATCTGTTTCTATCTGGAACTCAAAACCGTTCTCATAGAGTTCACTCCTAAGCAGTTCATTGTTTTCTTTAGACACCAACACTACAGCGTCATTGCCCGGGAATGGTAAAACCCACATGTCTAAATCCAAAACTTCTGATAACGAGTACAAATACGTCATTTGTTTTTCATCCTGAATTTTTATTTTGTACAACGAGTGTCTGAAATTTTCATAGAAGTATTAAACAACTTAAAAAATAAGTTCATTCATTACAGTGTGGTTAAACTATTTAGTCAGTGGTGGCCTAGTGGTTAAAAGGTCCGCCTCTCATGCACGAGGGCGCGGATTCGATCCTGGCCCGCGCAAGTACCAATGTGATTATTCCGAGTCATATGTACTTTCTAAGAGTATTTAGACATCACTGATTAATGCTGATTCCCAAAGAGGGTTGATGTCAGACAGGCGGCCGGTCGTTGAAACAATTATCCAAAACTATACACAACATGTAAGGCAGACCCAGGCTGAAGCTGGGAAATTACCAGGTAGAAGAAGAATGTGGTTAAACTATTATGTCTGCTATAAATCACAAATGACCAATTATTATGAATCATATTTATAGACTATGGAATATGTAGAAAAAGTAACGAACATTATTTTTTTTTGCTTTAAATATAATAATTCAGTTTTAAACTCACCCATCATACATTTCATGTTTTGCGTAAGCAAAACAAAATGTCAAAACGAAACTCAATATTAAACGCATGACTGTACCAGATCAAGTAGATTCTAATAATAATGGATGAGAGCGATAATCATAAATATTTATAATATATATTTCATTATGAAGTTATTGATAAAAATCATAGGTGATAACCCAAAACACGTGACTCACTAATTAACCAAACTAATATATTGAGAAATTAGTTATATGAAAAAGTTTTAGGCTGTGGCTATAATTATTGAATAATTACACTATTCTAGTTTGGTAACTTTGTGCTTCATCAAATCACTAAAGCTGGATACTAAGTTTGTATAACAGTAGTATTGTAGTTCTAAGTGACATAATTTGTAGCTTATATAACAGGCGAACCCTGGTGGAGGCATATTTACTCTTTAAAACTGTCATAGTTGTGATTTCTTTTGATTAAATAATTTCATGACGTCATAAGCACATGCGATAGTTTGTTATCGCTTACTGTTACAGATATACATAAAAAATCAAACTCAAAACCGTGTTTTTATTAGTAGAGGAGATTTATTGGTTCTGATCTTGTTAACGAACTATCTATCTATATTTGACAACATAATTAAATAATTTGCACTAAAATTTATTTCACAAAATTTTAAGCATTTTTCTGTGAATCACATAGTATTTATAATCATATAATGTAGGTACATACTATCTCAGGAAGGACAATACACAACATCCAGTTTTAGTTCAAATAAAAATTTATTTCACGTTAGAAGTATCAGACTGTGCCAGAATGTGGAGAACTAGATATTTAGAAAATATTATACGGAATACTATGGCTCAATTATATGGAAAAAATGCCTCTAACTATTCCAGTGCTTTTATAGCAGATCAATATAAAGAAAAGTATGGGGAAATAAAGTAGAATTTAAATAAGATTTAATACAAGTATCGCAGTATAAATACTTGTCAACATATTATTAGCAAACGTGTCAAAGAATTCTTGACAATTTCTAAGAAAGCATTGAGAATTAATATACGATACATTACAATGATAACAATAAGGTTTGAGCTTACTAAGAGCTTCAACAACAATAAGAATCGTCCTCACATGGAGAATAATAGGGACTTTTATCATTATATATGAAGTATGCGAAATATTAATAACAATAAAGATATAACAAGTATACAAGTATGTAAATAATTAACTAATCAAATAAAACAAAATATAAAATTATGAATAAGATAAATTTATAATTAAAATGTATAGACGTTGACAATACAGAAAAATCTTTTTATAATATAATTGTAGTATTATGTCTGATACAGATGATGATGTATTTTTATCAGCATGCAGTAGTAGTTGTTCCTCGTACACAGATGGTGATTCTTTCCATGTTCCTGAGACGCTTGGGACTTTGCTATGTAGTTCTTTTCTTAACTCTCCTAGCTCTTTTAATGTCTGTCATCTTAACACTCAAAGTTTACCTTCTCATTTCTCTGATTTTCTTGAAGCCTTTTCATACGCCCCTGTAGACGCAGTATTGATCTCCGAAAGTTGGTTGAAACCCTCACTTAATTCCACCTTATATAGTCTTCCCGGTTTTGTGCTGATTCGGAACGATCGGGTAGGCAAAGGGGGAGGAGGTGTTGCTATCTACCTTCGTTCGGATATTGCTTATACTGTTCTTTTTACTTCTCCTTCTTCTTTCTCGTTTTCTGCTGAATTTATATTCCTTGAAATCCGTCTCAGGGGTGTAAAAGCTGTTCTTGGAGTTGTCTATTGTCCTCCTACTGTTGACTATTTCTCCTCACTTGAACCTATCCTGGAATCCCTTTCTTCGGATTACTCACATCATATTATAATGGGCGATTTAAACACGGATCTGTTGAAAACCACTCCACGTTCTCTTAAATTTTCCCAACTCATAGATTCGGTGAATTTCAACATTCTTCCCTCTGAACCTACACATCATAACTCTGACTCGCCTGACACTTGGTTGGACGTTATCATAGTTTCTTCTAAAAATTCTGTGATTAAATATGGTCAACTTGCAGCTCCCGGGTTTTCTCGTCACGACCTTATATATTTATCATACAAGCTTAAGTCACCTAAAGCTAAAGCTCCAATAGTGTTGATGCGAAACCTAGCTAAAATTGATCTTGAGGCTTTGAAAGAAGATGCAAGATCGCTGGACATGTCTCTGATGTACCGTTCAACGACAGTAGATGACAAAGTCTCTCACTTTAACTTGTCTATTTTATCACTGTTCGATAAACACGCACCTTTGAGACCTGTTAAAATCAGACGTCCACCTGCTCCTTGGATTACCAAAGAAGTCCGAATGGCCATGTCACGACGCGATCGCGCTTTCCGCAAGTTTAAGCTTGATAGGAGCAAAGAAAACTGGGATTTGTATAAGGTAGCTCGCAACAGATGTAATCTAATGGTAAGAACAGCCAAACGCCACTATTGTCACGTTAATGTTAGCAATGCATCTTCGGCCTCAGTATGGAAATTTCTTCAAACACTAGGTATAAATAAACGGAATGAAGACATTGCTGTCTCTTCGTTTTCTCCTGATATATTAAACAGATATTTTTCTTCCAGTTCTCCGTTATCTCCCAATACTAAATTATCAACTATTTCTGAGATTGAATCCATGGCCTCTCTTCCTTTTAACGACTTAGTCCTTTCTCCAGTGTCTGATGAAGAAATTCGTAAAATAATCATCTCAATAACATCTAATGCTACTGGTGTCGATAGTATCAATCGACCTATGATTTTACCTATTCTGGACTATGTACTGTCGGCTATTACTCATATTGTAAACTTTTCCATTTCATCTGGAGAATTCCCTTCCTTGTGGCGTAAAGCTTATATCATTCCACTTCCTAAAGTTCCCAATCCTTCCCAACTAAATTATTTCAGACCTATTTCTATTCTTCCTTGTCTATCGAAAATTGTGGAGCTGTGTGTTTACAAGCAAGTCTCTTCCTTTGTTTACAATAATAATATTCTCACCACATATCAGTCTGGCTTCCGACCAGGCCATAGCACAGCTACCGCTCTTCTCAAAGTATCTGAGGATATTCGGGTTGGCATGGAGAATAGAATGATCACCATTTTGGTCTTAATTGATTTTTCCAATGCTTTTAACATGGTTGATCATGATATCGTCCTGGCCATATTCAAGCATTTGAAATTTTCTTCATCAGCTCTGGAATGGTTCTCCTCTTATCTTCGCGGCCGCCGGCAAGCGGTTAGGCTGAATCAGTCCCTCTCCGAGTGGCTTGATCTTTCTGCTGGCGTTCCGCAAGGTGGCACTTTATCTCCTATTATTTTTTCTCTTTTTATAAATTTCCTTTCATTTCATCTCGACTGTTCTTATCATTTTTACGCCGACGATTTGCAATTATACTCTAATTCCGAGATAGACAATATCGAAACAGCTATAAACAAAATAAATCAAAATCTTTCTTACGTTTGCAACTGGTCTAATAAATTTGGCATTGTAGTTAACCCTACTAAGTGTCAGGCGATCATTGTTGGTAGCTCACGTCTCATGTCTAAGTTAAATATTTCCTCTTTGTCACCTATCGTTTTTAACAATACGACTATTCCATACTTCCACCACGTTAAAGATCTTGGACTTCATATTGATTCTACATTAAGTTGGAATGTGCATATTTCTGAAGTTAGTCGTTCTGTCACTGCCACGTTAAGATGCCTTAATCGTTTAAGAAATTTTTTACCTATTAAAACTAAAATCTTACTTGTACAAGCCCTTATATTTCCCATTATAGATTACGCTGATGTGTGTTATCCTGATCTCAATGAAACCCTTTTGAACAAACTTGACCGTCTCCTAAATAACTCCTTACGTTTTATCTTTTGTCTTCGTAAATTTGACCACATCTCTCACTGTCGAGCAGAGCTCAAATGGCTTCCCATCCGCCAACGCAGAGAATTACGTATATTGTGTCTTCTTTTCTCCATTCTTTTTGATCCCCAATCTCCTCCTTACTTAAAAGATAATTTTAAATTTCTCTGTGACAATCATGTTCGACAGCTACGCTCTAATGACTCTCTCCTCCTCTCTTTTCCCAGCCACCACTCTAGTTTCCTCTCTAACTCCTTCTATGTAAAATCTATCAGACTGTGGAATAAACTTCCATTAGAAATAAGAAAGGCACCTACAAGGGCAATTTTCAGGCGTCGTGTACAGGAACATTTTGCTCAGAATCTGTATTAAGTCTCTGTTTTTATTATTGTTTTGGTATATAGTATATATCTATTGGTATGTGTGTGTATGTATGTGTATATGTATGTATGTGTATGTATATGTATATGTATGTGTATGTATATGTATTTGTATGTGTATGTATATGTATCTATATATATGTGTAAATATTATTTATATAACAATAGAAATTTATATGTATATTTTTCTTTTACATACTGCAACCGTCTTCATGTTTTTCTGCTTTTCCTAAGGTTTGACTGGCAGAGAATGCCTTCAGGCATTAAGTCCACCTATTGTATCTACGAGTGTAGTTTGACAATAAAGTTTTTTAAATAAATAATAAAAAAAAAATAAAAAAAATTGTTTGAGAACAATTGATCGGCTGTATACTGATGACTTACTATTATAAGTATACTAGCTGACCCGGCAAAGGTTGTTTTGTCATATAAAAAAATAGGGGTTGGTGAAAGAAAAGTAACAAATTTTGGGTGGTATGTAGCAGACATTATAAAGAAATAATAACATAAAATTTCGTCCGAAAATAAAAATTAAGGGTGAGCAACCCTTACCCTTTAAGGGTATAAAACATAGATGTTGGCCGATTCTCAGATCTACTCAATATGCTAACAAAATTTCATCAAAATCGGTCTATCCGTTTCGGAGGAGTTCTATGTCTAACACCGCGACACGAGACTTTTATATATAAGATGTATATACAACAACATCAACTCAATTTGTTCCCATTAATCACTGGAATTTTAAGTCATGGTTATTACTTAATTTTCTTAAGTTTATAGTAATTTGCATAACTACGAAGGTTTCATTATTAACAACGAATTATATAAATGACATTTCAATGTCATAATCGTTTAATGAAAGCAGCAAAGTTTATTATTTTTGTAATCTGTAATACAACTTATTTTTAACATTCAAAAGACGTATTCTAAATAAATGTTTAATCTTAAAGACGGTCCATATAGAATACGAATACACTGGCTTCTAACCATTTTTTTATTTAAAATGATTTAAACTTGTCATATTTGATTATTAAGAAGTGACGTGACGTCAGCAATGCTGCCGTCACAATTACTGTTTTCAACAGTCAGCTTATCCAAGTTCCATTTTCATTTAACTATTAATACACTCACAAACACTGTCACTACTTTATTTCAGACTTAAATTAGCACTTGTAATTAGATAATCTTCTTCCTGAATGGCTCTCAGACTACTGTGTCCCTTCCGCTAACGTTTGCGAATATAAATGGTTTTTGTGAAATCATTACATTTACTCTTTTAATTTGGAATATTAAACTATGACGAATAATAACGTAATGGCGTAAGTGATTTGTTTATGTCCTATTCACCCTCTAAAATAAAATACTTATGAAACAACTATCCCCTATAAGGGTTTTAAATGTTGTTGCGCCGACATGTATATTTTCCAAAGTCAGTATCAGAATAAGATTTTATGAGTGTAAAGTAATTCACAAATTACCGAGACAGTCTACTTTAAAAATCTTTTCAGGATAAAGTGGGAAGAAATATAACCGTGTTCTGACAAGATCCGGGCGATTATTTGGATAATGTACAATTGTATCAGAATATTTAGGGACAGAACCAGATGGGGCAAAATTCTAAGAAAAAATCTCATGAGGTTTAATTCTTAATAAGTAAGATAGAAGAGGTAAGATAATATAGAAAGAGTGAATAAGAAAATCAAAAATATATGATCATCGCAAATATTATTATTATTCTGTAGAGTATAATTTCACCGGACATATTGTGGTTTCAAACGTCAGTCTGATAACGGAGACAGTGTTATAAAGTGGAGTGGAAGTGGACCGGGGTCAGGTCGGTAAATCTATCAAGTGTCATACAAATAACTAGATTTTGATTTCATGTAAAGCGTTGTCAAAAGCGAAAGGACGAGTATTATTTTATCACGAGACCTTTCAGTCTATAGCTTCGTGAACTTTTCATAAATCTGTTACAATTAATGAAACATTTGTCATAAAAATTTGGTTAAAATATAAGTCCGATTTTTGCTGAGTTGTTTTTGTGTATTAAATTGAACAAACAGCACTGTCAAATCAAATTAATCAAAAAGTATTATAAATTATCTATAAACCACTAGAATTAACAATTTATTGTGATAAACAGTTTGTTTTGAGATAATTGTTGTATATACATTTTGTATTTCGATCTTGCGACATGCTCGTCTTTTTTGTTTTATCTTTTATCTTAAGTGTCACCGCTAAAAATGAAATATATATGGGGTAAGTTGGATAGATGGACTGGTTTTGAACGTTCTTGATCCGATTGTGATAGTAGTTGATGTACCATTAGATGTTGGACGAGAATCTTTGATGAAGTAAATGTTCAACTCAAAGTTCACTTGTTGCAAGAGATCGCTGGATAGTTTGAAACATGGTTTACTGAAACTTTTAACATTGTCATTAGAGGATACAACTTGTTCAACTGAGTTGCACCATCTAAAGTAACAAATTTAATATCTAAACAGTTATATAAAATAATTTTACATAAGAATGTGATAGCTATAACTATAATCGATCTATTCTTTATGTCTTTATTTATATTTTTTTAGCCATCGAGTTTATAAAATAAACTTAAAAACAACCGAGCAGTCGAATAGGTTTTATTTACTCAAAGATGACGTCATAGATTTCTGGCAGAAACCGTCTTTGAAGCATAAAGTGGAAGGTAAAGCTATGGTTCCCCCTTCACATATTGGTTGGTTTGAAAAACAATTGGACGATATGAACATTGAGAAGGATATTTATATAAATGATGTTTATGAGTAAGTCAACTTAATATTATATTTATAGTAATGACATCTCAGACTTTTACGAGTATTAATATAAATGAAACTACGCGTATTTTATAACTATAAAAACTTCATACTCCCGGCGTTTCGGTTACTTATCAGCAACCTTTTTTTTTTTTTTTTTTCGGGGAGAAATCCGCTTACAGACTACCCACTGCCCTGGCTCGACAGTGGGACTTGTGTGGGGGTCGCGGTCGCCCAGAGCCCGATGTTGTTGGCCCTGGGAATACCCACTAAAACTCCCCGGCTTCCCTTCCTGCCCGTATTTGGGGGCGATTTGGGACCTGCTATTGCAATTCACCAATTCACCCCCGGGCTGCCCAGCTACTGTGCCGGGCTACCGCGCCGATGGGGGATTACCCGGGAGAGCCGAGATAATCCCCAGACGTGTTGACCATGTGCAATGCCTGCATCAGTGCCACTTGACGCAGGCTGGTCGAACTTCCAGACTTATCAGCAACCTACCCGTGATGACGATTGCTGAAAAATATTAGTTTCATTTATATTTCTAATAGTTAAAGCTTCACATATTTCTATCTTCCTGGAGGTTCTGATAGATAGTATGTAGAAAATATCTTCTATATATATAAAAATGGATTGCTGTTCCTTAGTCTCGCTAAAACTCGAGAACAGCTGAACGGATTTATCTTATCTTAGTCTTGAAATGTTCGTGGAGGTTCAGGGAAGGTATAAAAGGTGAGAAAAATTGGAATAATTGCCGGGAAAACCCTAAAAACAGTCCTTTTCTATTTCCCATACAAACGCTTTTTTTGACATTAGATTTGACAACTAACTAATATGTCAATTATTATGTTTGATTGAAACAGGAAAAATCTGATTATTTATGGCCTCTAAGACGGAATAGAGTTCGCCCGGTCAACTATACATATATTACTAATGACGAAACTAACGCGGACGAAGTCGCGGGCAAAAACTAGTTTATATATAAATATTATATACAAATATTTAAAGTTATTTCGAAAGATAACTATATTTTTTTCTCCAGAACATAAAAAGCCGGCCTTATGCTAGTAACTGATTTATTGCCAAAACCCATAACCAGTAAATATAGTCGTATTTATTGATATTTTATTGGAAAACATTCATATTTTTTGGTCGGAATAAAAAACATTTAAGTTTGTAATTACACTAAGACTATTATAATAATTCTCAAGCAGAAATATTTTATATGAATTATCTTATCTGAAGACACAAATAAGACGTTTAGGATATGGATGGGAATTAAAATGATTACTGTGCAGATAACGGAAAACATATGATTTTTAATCAAGACGTTAATGGTATTGGCATGTGTTTAAATAATGATTTTTGTCCAATGACTTTATCACCTAAAGTCGAAACAAGGAATTTAGTTCAGAATATTTAGTTGCTGTTACTATAGCTGACAATATTTTATTACTAATTGTAATAAAGATTGGAACTAGTTTTTTCATAACATTTATATTAAGTAATTATAATTACTAAAATATGCTGTCCGTAAAATATAATATTATTTTTTTATTATACTCTTAAATCATATTGAAGGGTCAAGTCTGTGATCATTGCAAATATGTATATTAGGCATTAATAAGTACCATATAACTTTCAGATATTTAAAGGAGCATGACACTCGACAATCACTTAGAAACGACGTGGACGACGTATTCAGTTTCGACGGCTATTATAGATTTGATCAAGTAAGTTTTATAATAAAATGTGAAACTTGAGTAAGAATTTATTTAAATGAGCAATGATTAGCAATGAGCAAGCAAAAAATTTTAGCAATCATTGGAATTATTTACATGTATGTTATATTTAATTATAATCAGACGAGAAGAATGTGTTTGTGTTTTTCAATTGTGTATTGCTGAATCTGTCTAGATCTAAATCTTTTCATAATTGTATCTTTGAATGTCGTTAGTTATATTTCTATTTAAACTTTCTGTTTCAGGTTTTGAATTACATGAAATCATTAAACTGGACTTCTATACCAGGTGTTGATGTGGAATTCGTTGAAGCTGGTTACACAGATGAGAACAGAACTCTGGCATATTTGAGAATAAATTCCAAAACAAGTGAAGAAGGAACAGAAAAACCGATAGTAATTATTGAAGCTGGGGTGAATCCTAGGGAGTGGGTAACAATACCGACTGCTCTTAATATCGCAAATAAACTTATCGAAGGAAATCAAACGAGATTGGTTCAAACTTTGGAATGGATTATTGTACCTGTTCTCAATCCAGATGGTTATGAATTTACACATAACACTAATGTAAGATTCATTAACCTTTCTAATATTTACTTTTTTTAGACTTCCATCACCATGCTCGTAATATCCTAAATAGATTCCATACTCTTCTTACTTTATTTTATCATCTGGTTTGAAAGACTTAACATCATATTTAATCTATTGTAATACATAATAAATTGTAGCTCCATCTTTCCTAAGATAGGTCATTAGGAACGTTGCTCTATATAACTAAATAGTTTCATGAATAATAGAAATCTGTAAGGGAATTAGAATAAAATTATCTGCATAAAATCACAATTATAATAATAATTTTATAAAAAACATTTCAGCGACTTTGGACGAAATCAAGAAGCACCAGAAGTAACTTAGGTTTCATTTGTCCAGGAGTCAATATTAACAGAAACTTTGACATCGACTGGATGTTTTCTGACTCTAGCACTAGTCCGTGTAGTCACCTGTATGGTGGGATTGAAAGTTTTTCAGAACCGGAGTCCCAAGTCATAAGAAAACTGATCGAAGAACATGGTAATCGAATCAAACTATACATTTCCCTTCAAAATAACGGAGGATTTGTATCTTATCCCTGGCAATACGAGAACGCTGCGAGTGGAATGTTCAGACAACACCATTTATTGGGTTTAGAAATGATTTCGGCCATAGCAGATAATTACACATTAGATATAGGCTCCTTAGCGTTAGGAGATAGAGCTTCTGGTACTAGCAGTGATTATGTTATGAGTAGAAATGTTTTGTACACATTCAATATTGATATAAAACAAAGCGGAGGCGGTGTTCTTATACCTGAGGCTGAAATAAGACCAATTTCTGAAAGGGTATGGAGAGCAGTCGCAGTAGCCGCTGGAAATATGATAAATTGAATTTATTAAAGTTTTAAACTGCTTTGTAATGATATATAACTAGATATAAGTAGGATTTAAAACAGCTAGTTTCAATGAACTCTTTTTATGATAATTTTCGATTTCTTCGTACAATATTTCCATTATTATTTAGTTACTTCACACACACCATGATAAAGAAAAACAAGTTTTCTCTAGTCTTCAAAATAAAACTCGCTAGTACCATCCGAAAATGTAGTTTTATTTGAATGTAAACTCGTGAATATTTAGAGACATTATTGAATTAGTTTAGTTTTTATGAGACTTCATATTAAACGATAATAATATTAACATTTATAGAAAAATATAAACCTAATAAATATTATGAAGTTAAACGCTCCTTTTTATGTGAATATTCAAGAAAATATTTTGTTCAAATCTTGAGTGCAATATTAGAACATAAAGCAAGAAACTTTTAATGAAAGACAACTTTGGCATTCAAAATAAAATTGTAACCGACTAAGTTTTATTTGTAAGACCAAGCCGGTATTTTATATTTGTATGAAATTTGTTTACAGAATATATTTTCCTAATATTTCGGAAAATATTTTTTAATTATATATATTTATGTAATAGAAAATTTAGTATGATTAGAATCGTTTTCGTTTTTATTACTTCTCTTAAAGAAAAAAAGAATATCATATTGTTTCTAACCTCAATGTTATATTATTGATACTTGTAATTTTGTTTCTTTATGGACTTTCATATCATTTTAACATAAAACCCACAGAAAATGGAAATAAAGGATACTTTAATTTAAAAAAAAATAAGTATTTAAATAAGACTCAGTTTGTGAAGCTTCCTTAGTAAATAATATACGTTCCAAAATATTATAATGGAAATAATACGTTGCAAAAATTATTGATATTATTTGTATGAAAAATTCCGGCTGGGGTAAATTGAATAACACATTTCCAAATTGGAAATTGATCCCTCCTTCGACAAACGAAATCTCATTTTAAAATCCCAACGTTATCGGCGCCCGGAAAATTTAATATGCTCTCATAAAATTGGTTACTTAGTAACCTAAGTGTCTATTTTCAAAGGTTTAAGCATTGGCTGGCTTCTTTGTGATATTTGTTATTCTGTTATTTTACGAAGTAAAAATGGTTTTTAGTCATTTGAAATTCATATAGTTTTTTAAACTATAGTATATATAATTATCCAGGGTATCAAGGATTTTGCTTCAGATGCGCCTTCTCTGTGGAAAATCAAAACTCTACGTATCGATAATTGAGTCAGGATACAAAAAAGGATCAGACTACTAGCTAATATTCTAAAGGGAAACACTATCGTCGATCTAATGCTATCAGACGTAAAATCTACACAATAATCTGTTGTAGGAATTATGTTTTTCTATTATCACAAACCTATTTATGGTTCCAGTACATTAACTATTCCTACTATTAATATAATGACAACGCGTATTATCTTCTAATTCACTCACAAGAACTAAAAGAAATACACACTCGGTGGAATTGTAGTTTATTTTCTCAAAACAAAAAAGACAAATGTCCGAGTCATGTTGCGTATTGAGGACAGAGTGACGTTAAGTCGAGACCATTGAGTGTTTTACCAATATTACCTTTTACCTTTAGTAGTGATCGCTGTTTTAAAACATCATAGTTTAAAATAGATATCGATATTAATCTATATAACGTTAAGATTTTTTTATACTTTTTTCTTAATGAATATATGACAAAAAGTGTGCATAATAGTTATGATTGTAGTAGTTAGATTACCGTTTTCAATTAGAATAGATTTTTAAAAATATTCGTAACACTGCCAAATATTAAAATACATTTTGCTCATGAATAGATTTAATAAAGGTTATAGCTAAATATGTTGAATCGATAATTTGCTGCAAAATTACAGCACTAGTGTCCATTTAGAAGCATAGCAGTCACGTCGCCCTTGGGACTAAATTTCTCTCTACGCTTCCTTAAGCTCAGTATATAATATTAAATTGAATTATAATTTCAATTTAATATTTTAAATCTATTTTAATCCATGTATCTTACATTAAAATTCACTTTAGCAGCATTGACTTTTATCAACAAATATTTAATATTTATCATTTATCATCGTAGTAATATTGAAGTGAAAATATATGACTTAATTTTTGCTTTGAATCGGACCAATTTATATGGCGATTAATATATAGTGGATAAATTTCTTATAAATAAATTAAATTGTATTAAATTAAATGTAAACACAACCTAAGCAAACAAAGAATCTTTGAATACTTCCTTTATTACTTTTTCGTTGCGAAAAACAAAGGGATATCTGCAGGCCTGTTGTTTAAATCCCTGTATTTTTTCGGGTTATTTATGAAGTTTATTCCTGTTATTTATTGATTTAAGAATAAAGTACGGCTGCATGATCTCCAACCTCTCTTTAATGGCACATAAAGATGAGTTTAATGTTTATTCCATGAATAACTCTTGTATATATTATCAGAGACATATAAAAATATTGAGTAAATATAAGATGGGACCTACTTATGTGTTCTAAATAAATAGATAAAATAAAGTATAAATTATTATTCGACTCTATGTTCATAGAATACTATAGACTATAGACATAGAAACCTATGAAAGGTTATTTTGCACGAAATAATAAAACTTTTAATTAAGCTTCTAATATGTGGAATGTTTCTCTCGCTAGAGTTTTAATGATAAATATTTATTTATGTAGTTAACGAATAGTGGGATGAATTTAAATTCAGAAATTGAGTTGATACCTAAAATTAAAAGGAAAGTTAAAAAATTACTTATTTATTTAAAATTATCAGTTCAAGTTATTCATTTTCAAAGTAAAGGTTTCTATTTTTGACAACGTAACGAGCAGCGAACTTGATGCCTTCCCAAGTTTCGTATCCGGCTTGACGGATGAAGGCCGGGTCTACTAGGAAACCATTCATATTATTAAGGTTTCTATGGGCAGGTAATTCATATGTATATGACAATTTATTTCCAATCCGAGCTTGAGCAAAGTCACTGCATCCACCAGATGCTTGATATAGAACTTGAGCGATGTTACCAACTCTGTAATTTCTATTTGCGGGCCATTTAACCGCATCAATTCTTTTCGCCATTTCGACAGCCACTTGTTGGAGAGTATTGGAATGAGGAGGCAGCTGTCTGTTACCGTAACCGTACAGGATCAAGCTTCCGAAAGAATGGACATCAATGAATAATCCTATGCGAGATCTGTATCTATTGATGATGTCTCTAGTCATTTGGGTCTCTGGCTCTGAGAAGGCTCTGGGGCCGTGGAAGGTGTCTGAGCAAGCTTGGTTACTGGATGCAGTTCCCCAAGCGAAGTCAAAGTTTCTGTTTAGATCTACTCCAATACAAAGTCCCATACCAGTTCTTCGGTTCTTTCTCCACATACGTGTCTGAAAATATATACATAGAAATGATATTTTCTAGAAAATGAGAAACTAATATTTTTCGGATTATACTACGCGCATCTTATGCTCGTTTACTTTTCAGCAACGGTGATCACGGGCAGAGATGTGAATGACTGAGACTGTTAATACTCGCGAAAATTTATGTCTTATTGAATTAAAAAAATTTGAATAGAATTCTTATAATGAAACTTACCCTAGTATGAGTGAACTCGTAACCGTCAGGATTAGCAATCGGTATGATGACCCAATCAATGTCTCTTACGAGATCTTGTTCAGTCACATCGATGACAAGTTTGTGAATGGCGTACAGAGTCACGGGGAGAGTGACCCATTCACGAGCGTGTAGTAAAGACTGAATAACCACGACAGGCTTGTTGCTTGACTGGAATTGAAATCGTTACTTTAAAAAGTATGCTCATATAGAAAACCATTTAATCTCGAGTCAAATTTCTTTTCCAATAAAGTTTTCTTTATTATTGTAGTTACCTGGAAATTGTTACTTGATATCCTTAAATATTTGATATCGCGACCTTCAACACTTTTTCCACCAGATGCAACTTGCACGTTGGAGTATTGCCGTGCGAGATCGGAGAGGTATTTGTCAACCTGTATTTAAAACAAAAAAAAAATCTGAATTTGTGCAAAGCTTTTTCATGAGACAATTAAGAAAAATTACATTGTTGATCCAAATTATAACAAATGAATCATACTTACAACAGCATAACGATGTATCACATTGAATGAAAGACCTCGCTGCATTCTTCCAGCCTCCGCGATACTAGCGTTAGCAAGAAGTTGATCCTCAAGATCTAACTTTCTGTAAAAATTAATTTAGTAAGACAGGTTAACAAAAAAATAAATACTATAAAGTCTATAAACTTCGAAATAGTTGGACACTGACAGTAATTATTTTTTATTTCAATTTATGTTCTTCTGATAAAATGTTTTCTTTAAACTTACTGTTTTATATTTTCTGTATCAATTGCGAACTGTACACCAATGCTTTTAAGTTCTTCTTCGAACATAGGTTTCAGTTCTTTCGAAACCAAAATGAGTCCATCTTGTTCTGGTTGGGCGTAAGTCCAGACGTCCAACAGAAAGCGTTCCACTACATTCATCAATTGATCCACTTGCTCAGCATTTTCTACCCTGACTTGGTACAATGAGTGCCTGGTAACATGATTATTATATTAAATACACCATCACAATATAGAGAAATTCATAATTATATTATACAAAATAAAAAATGCAATCTCACCCATCGTATTCCTCATGCTTTCCATGGGCAACGTATATTGTCGCCAAAATAAATAAAAGTGGCTTGAACATTTTGGCCTTACGATTTCGTTGGCCAAATGTATAATAAAGAATAATGCATTAGTATGTTCTTTTTATAAAAATTGAATAGGATTTTAGATTTAAATCAGGGTTCCAATGATAATTATTAATATTTAATGAGTTTAATCACAATTTATCATTTGATGTAATTACCGATATTATTAATTCATTACGTTTGTTACGTTATTTTTTGTTAAAAATGGAAAACCCCGTGTAAATTAAATAAATATTACAATTATATTTACTTCGATATATTCAAAATTTAATCACAAATATAAATTATTTCACTTTTTAGTTCTATGCTACAATTCTTAAGAGATGGACAGTTATTTTACAAACGTTTTCCCAATTTCTCACTTCTAAATTTGGTTGAATGAATGAATGAAATTTGATTGAATACAAACCAAGAGACGAATTAAAAATTAATATTAATTCCAAAGGTCACTTTTATAATTTTCTTGAAATGATTATTTATTTTAAAAATAAATACTACATTATTCAGAATTAAACCGCTCAAAATTTTTTGACAAAATTTATTTCCCATACTGATAAAATGTTATAAAAAATTTAATACGCAAATTTAATTTCAATTCAATGTATTTATACATTCAATGTATTTAAACTAATAAACATATTCAATGTATTTAAACTAATAAACAAAATTTTAGCTGTTAAAAATATGTAATATATGACAGAGAAACATGTATTCTGTCTAAGAACCAGAGAGTTACAATAAGACTTTTAGCCTTCTCTATTGCATTTACATAAATGTATGTGTATATTATTATGTGTTTTCGATGTTTAAATACAACATTATTTTAACATTTGTCATGTGATCGACATAATTATGATAATTACAATTATTTTTATTTATTTATCTGTTATAGAGCAAGTCATTGATAAGATATTTTTCTAGTAAAATAGTATCTAACATACCTTTAGTTTAAGGATTTGTATTGATAACGGAAATTAATCATATCTTAAAATGTGTTTGAAATAATAACGTCATTGTGACAGTAATGTAAAAAGATAGCATTGGAAGGAAACTAACATTTTTTGGATTTAAATACTACATAAACTACATACTCACGATGTTTCGGTCACTTTACAGCAACCGTGATCACGGGCAGACGAGAATAAAAAATCGCGTAGTAGATCCGAAAAATGTTAGTTTCATTTAAATGAATACTCTCGAAAATCTTAGATCTCATAGCCTTGGAACTTTGAGCTTAAGAACGATAGACCCAAAAGGTTTAAGAATTTCTAAAGACATTTATTGACAAAGTTACAAATAAAGATATAATATTTTGTTCACATTGTATTGGGAAATATTTAATTCAAGTTTAAATGATATCTTTCAATGTACTAATACTGGCTTAAGCGTGCTATAAATTGTAGGATAAATTTTGCACCTTAAGCTGATAGAAATTATGTTATTAATACAGGGTATTAACATGTTGACGATAAAATAGAAGTTTACTGTGATAATATTAGTTCGTTTTAATTAGTGCTATTAAATACACTGATCATGAAGGTCTGGATTTTTATATGCCTTATTTTGGCTGTTTCTGCCAAACACGAGGATTTTGCAGGGTGAGTTTTCACAGCTACAATAGAAAGAAAATCACAAAACTTTCAGAGTAGGATACAAAATAGGATTAGATAGAATTAAAGTCCAGAATGGGTTAAAAAATTTTTTAATCTTATGCAGATGGAAGTCGTATTATGTAGAACCGTCAGATTTAGATCAACTCAAAAATTTCAATAGTCTAGTACAACACATGAATGTTGATATTTTTGCTCATCCAATTGTTGGACGACCAGGACTCATTTTAGTGGATCCATCTTTTCAAGACGAACTTATTGGTGGTTTAGAAAGATTGGGCATCAAATATAAAATCCACGCTGAAGATGTTAAAAGGTTTGACATAAAAGTAATATATTTTATCGGGAACTTACTAACCGTTTTTTGAATTTCTATTGAGCTTTATTTAATCTGCTTATAATATTTTAGTCAATTTGATTTGGAAGATGAATTGTTAAAAAAATCTAATGAAAATAGTCCTAAGAGCAATTTTGGAGGAAAGTTACCATATGATTCGTATCAATCATATGATACGGTAAGTTTTAACTTTTATGAGAGAATTGACGGAGTACGACAATTATTATCAACCCATATTTTTACAGATTAATAAATACTTAGACGATATTGCAAAAGAATATCCAGAGAAAGCTAAAGTGATAACTCATACTTCTTTTAATGGACTGCCTGTTAAGTATTTGAAGGTGTCTACGACTAATTTTGAAGATCCAACGAAACCTATTATATACCTAGATGGAGGTATCCACGGTAGAGAGTGGTTATCCATACCACCTGTGACTTTTGCCATTAATAGACTTTTGGAAAATGGTACTGATTCTAGTCTATTGGAAAAGTTTGACTTTATTTTATTCCCTATCGTTAACACAGATGGATACCAATATAGCCGTGACACAGTAAGTGTAAAGACATAGTAGCTAAGCATTAATACTATAAGTGTTTAAATATTATAACCTTGCCATATTTTAGAGCGCGGCATGGAGAAAAACTCGTTCCTGGTACCAAGATCCATGGAGTATTATGTGTCCCGGGGTAGACATTGATCGTAACTTTGATTTCCATTGGAACACTGCAGGAGCTGGTAGCAGTAAATGCTCATACGTGTATGCTGGCGGTTCTCCATTCTCAGAAGCCGAAACAAGAGTTGTGAGAGAAATATTACTAGAAAATAATCGCATTCTCATGTACATATCCTTTAGTAGCTGGGGAAGTCTGATCATGTATCCATGGGCAGTTGACGGTTCATTCTCCAGTGAAGTCTTTAGACTTCATAACGTTGGTGTGGCTATGGCTGATACGATCAATTCTTTACAAATGCCCGAATTCTTCGATTATAAAGTAGGTAATGCAGCTTTAGTTCGTCAACTACCAATGTCAGGAACGTCTATCGACTATGCTCATCATTTAGGAGTCCCATTGACTTTTACGATTGAGTTGCCTGGACTTTTTGGAGGTTATTTTATGAACCCAATTTACATGGAAAGAATTTGTTTTGAAACATGGGAAGGAGTAAAGGCAGGTATCAGAAAAGCGGAACAATTGTATATGTAATGTAGAATTTTAATAAAAATTTTAAAATATTTGTCGTATATAATCGTTTTATAATTTACATAATAAGCCTATGTCATGTTTTTTCCATCTTCAATTATACAAAATATGTATATTACTAGTGGGAAATATAAAAAGATTTTAAAAATCGATTATAAATATAATGGAGAAAAGTGTCAATTATAAAAAATTTATAAGATTTAATACAGTCCCGAATTTTGTTTTAAATAGAAAAATATTAAAATCCAGCGTATATGAATTTCCATACCAATATTTCAAATACGAGTACCAGCGTGTAACTAGATCAACTGCTTAAGTTTTAGGGGCAATTAAAAGCTTGCGTTATGGCTGTTTATCCCTCAAAATTTTCTAGTGATTTGACACTGTCACTATTCAAACAACACCTTAAGATAGCACTTGCTGAATTGTTCCTGAGCTCTTTCAAATGTTGAGACTGCTGGTCTTTTGCATTTGATTTTTTTGTTTACTGTCTTGATCATTTTATTATAAAATATAATAAATTAAGTATTTTATACGTATGTTTATATTTTAATATGGCTGTAATTGAAACTTATTTATATATTTCTGTTTATGGTAAAGAACTAAGATGTACATTTCTTTCATATGTCTTGTTCTCTAATATCCTGCTTACGAATTACAAAATACAGATAAATTTACTCCAATCACAATTAAATACATCATCTAAATCTGCACCGGGCCCCGATGGTATCCCATATATAGTCTTTAAAAAATGTCCATCGGTTCGTAAACACCTCATAAATATATACGGCAAAATCTGGTCAAGGAAGCAAATCCCGGAGTGTTTCGGGAAAGCAATTTTTGTCCTCATTCTCAAAAAAGATCGAGTTACCGATCCGAAGGATACTAGACCGATAGCCTTAACAAATACAATATCTAAAATCTTTTTCTCGGTCCTACAAACGAGAATGGCGCGATTCATGCTCAGCAACAAGTATTTTAGGCCAAATCACCAGAAAGGGTTTCTACCCGGAATTTCTGGATGCCTAGAACACAACACCTTGCTGTCGGAGAGTTTGAAAGATGCTAGAAAAAGCGAGCGGCAAATTACAGTTTGTTGGATAGACTTAGAGAACGCGTTCGGGTCGATACAACACGAGTTGATGCTATTCGCGCTTAGATGGTACAACTTTCCACCCCTAGTTAGAGATATGATCGCGTCGTATTACTCAAAATTAAGGTTTTCTATAATAACTAAAGAAGGCCCTTCAAAATGTTTGAGTTATAATGTAGGACTGTTTCAAGGTTGTTGTCTATCTCCAATTACGTTTAATATCGTTATTAACATCTTAGTAGACAAATTAATCTGTAACGAGAAAAAATGGGGTTATCGGTTTAAGTTTAATAATAAATACACGGAATCCATTTTAGCCTTCGCTGACGATCTCGCAATACTGACACGTCACCCCAAACACTGTCAAGTACTATTGGATGAAGTGGATAAATTCTGTGAGTGGACGGATGGATTGAGGACAAAACCAAGTAAATGTCACTGTTTGTGTCTTGGTAGGCGGAATACAAGATACACCTCATACGATCCGGGACTGTCGATAGGCGGTCAATGCGTTTCTACGGTTACGGAAGATGCACCATTCAAGTTTCTCGGTCGTAAGATTGATAATATAGGTCGTACTCCATCTTTAGAAGGAATAGTAGATAGCTTTTTAAATGATCTTAACAAGGTAGATAGCCAGCAGATCAGTAACGTAAAAAAAGCATGGATCTACGATAATTACTTAACTTCACGTTTGAATTGGCCTTTCCTCGTCTATGATTTTAGTAAAACCCTTTTATCTAAATTAGATGCAGGCGTCATAAAGATGTTGAAGTTGTGGCTCGGGCTCGCGCTAACGGCTGATTCATCGGCTTTATTCAGGGATCGTAATAGTTTTGGGATGAATCTAAAAAGACCATCGGAGCTCTACAAACACCTAAGAGTTTCCAAGAGACATATCCTGGGAAAATCCCATGATGACGTCGTTACATCACTCCCAAAAGACAATGATGCCCCAGAGCTAGAGTCACGACTTCAATTCCATAAACAATTTATGATCGGAGCGCAAAATAACAGAGTAGGGTTAGGATCAAGTAGGAAAGTCCAAGATACGGATATATTGAAGTCTTTTATTCGGCAAGACGAGAACGATAAATACAAGATCCATGCAATGAGTTTAGAAATGCAGAACGAGTGGTTAGACATAGGAGATTTTTGCATTCCACTAGCACTAAAATGGCGCACCCTAATTCATGACTGGTCGCCAGCCTTGCTAAAATTTTATCTCAATGCGTTCCAGATGACTCTCCCAGATCAGAGTAATTTAGTAAGATGGGGTAAAGGTACCGAAAAAACTTGCTATATCTGCGGAAAGGCAGTTGGAACTGCCAAGCATTTGCTGGTGGGATGTAAGGTTCTCCTGGACAGCGGTCAATACTCGCGTCGTCACGATAGGGTTTTAGAGATCATACGTGAAGCGGTTAGTCTTTCGGTAGCCAGAGCGCAAAGGGAAATAACCACAAACGAGCGATCAATAGGTTTTGTGAGAGAGGGCACCAGGGCTATAAAATCAAACGTCAAGCCTTACTCTATCCTTAAAGCGGCTTCGGATTGGACTATCATGATGGATACGTATGAGAAACAATACAAAATCCCCGAGGATATTTGTGCGTCGGCCTCCAGACCAGACATATTTCTATATTCGCGTATTTTAAAGCGCGTTGTGATGATAGAGCTTACGGTGCCTTGGGAAACCAACATCCCCAAAGACCATGCCATCAAGGTCAATAAGTATTACGAGCTCACTAACGAACTAACTCGAAATAGGTTCGTCGTTGATTTGTACGCGGTAGAGGTGGGAGCGAGAGGTATAACAGCTAAATCTCTCTATAACCTACTAAAAGACTTGGGCCTGTCCAGAACTAACATTAATTCATTCTTAGAACGTACGTCGAAGGCAGCCCTAGTAGGTTCTTTTCAAATTTGGTTAGGTAGGGAGAGGAACTTGGACAGTGGAGGTGAGCGTATAACGCGCGTTAGTTAAGGGGCCCCTTAAACCTACACCTGGGTCGCAAGTCCCAGGCACTGTTGAAGCTCCTCTCCCTGCAACGCAATGGACCCGGCACCCGCACGGTGAATCCATTGAATGCTAAGAGGTTTCGTCTCTGTCTAGTAGGACAACGAGGTCACTTTATTTGAACTGAATATAATGAGCAACGAATTATCTTAATTTTGTAATGAAATTAAAACAACTCGTACGCTGCTGACTCCATTGTGATTGAATAGTGAGTTTTCATCTCTCATCTCAAATAAACTTGTCTTTCCAAAAAAAATTATTCAGAATCTTATGATTTTATAGCTTATGCTATTATTAAGCAGTATTTTTTTTCATAAAAGCATTACATATCTGCAAGTAATTTTTATGCCTTCTGCAGTTTTTACTTTTACAACATTATTATTATTTTATTTAATATTTGAATAAGTTTGTTTTCATTTCGGTCAAAAAAAGAATAACAAAACACGATTTATTTGTTTTAATCTTGTGAGATAATAGATGATACATCATTACAGATAAATATCAGAAGTTTTTGACAAATTCTGTAATCCTACTTAAATATGCTATCGATAATAATTTAAACAAATATCATATTTAAATAATAAATTTTTCACGGACTTTTGGGTTATTTTACTATATTATAATTAATTATCTTTTAATTTATCATAATTATCTTATCGGAAAAATCGTGTTTTGTCACGTTATTTTGTTGAATGTCATCTAAAAAAATATTTACCGTTTACATTTACATTTTTTTATTTAAATATGAAAAATTAATTAAAAAAAATGAGTTATATATTACAAATATTTGATTTACAAAATAAATTAGAGTCAACTTAGCATATTTGAACGAAAGTATGTAAAAAAGAGTGTGTGTACTAATGTACACGCGTTAGAAGTTTTACTTATTTGGATTATGGAAAAAAATATAACTAAAATGGTATTGTGATTACCGATAGATATAAAAATTAATCAAAAATATTTTATTTAAGAAAAAGGTTTAATTAACGTTAAAATATAACAACACAGTAAAAATATACAACCATTAATCATTACGGTAATGAATCAAATATATAAATAAATATTTCAAATAAACTATTTTATACTCGTAGATTCTTCTCGTAATGACTGAATAGGCACGAGAGTAACAAGAGGTTTGTGGTAGCTAAAATATAAATGGTCTCGTTGAAACTGTACATTAGTGTCTTGTAAATACATCATCAATAGTGGTGCCCTGCCGTGGTTTTGAAACTAAAGAGTCATTATTAATCGTTAGATTTAAACCTTCATGAAAAAAATTAATCAGTGGGTTTTAAGGCTCTGAATTAAAGTTTATACTAACTCTTAATTAACGATGTAAGTAAATCATACATATCCTATATATATGTAGGAGGGCGTTATAAGAACAGGAGGGCCTTCATGGGAACTCATACTTTGAAAGGGATAAAGTACAGTCTATTCAATACGACACCAACTCAATCGAAACACTAGATATCACTATCACTTCGATACACAGCGATTCGTCACGAGCGCGGTGCGCGGGCGTCATCTCGCACGATACTCCATCATAAAGATGGCCGCCCTCGCTACCATCACAATGACGCTTCACTAGGCTAACCTCAGACAGCTAAAAGTCAACCTGACGTATGATTTTTGACGGATGCGCCGTCACGGCCGGACTGACATCCGACCGTCCTCGGGCGGTTCTCGGATCAATGAACTACAGTTGTGTCTATTCCGTTCGGCATCCTGACAAACGACTAGTTACAATCATCAAAATGTGCTATGGTACTTAAGACTTAAGGCGAGCATCTCGTAGCAATTAAGCCAGACGACAACATTCATCTCACCACAATGTTCAAAGCATCCAGAACAAGTCAACCAACTTAAAGGGCTCTGACCCGGACGACTACATTCGTCTTGCCACAATGTTCAAAGCATCCAGAACAAGTCAACCAACTTAAAGGGCTCTGACCCGGACGACTACATTCGTCTTGCCACAATGTTCAAAGCATCCAGAACAAGTCAGCCAACTTAAAGGGCTCTGACTCGGACGACTACGTTCGTCTTACCAGAACAAGTCAGCCAACTTAAATGGCTCTAACTCGGACGACTACATTCGTCTTACCAGAACAAGTCAGCCAACTTAAATGGCTCCTGACTCGGACGACTACGTTCGTCTTACCAGAACAAGTCAGCCAACTTAAATGGCTCCTGACTCGGACGACTACGTTCGTCTTACCAGAACAAGTCAGCCAACTTAAATGGCTCCTGACTCGGACGACTACGTTCGTCTTACCAGAACAAGTCAGCCAACTTAAATGGCTCCTGACTCGGACGACTACATTCGTCTTACCAGAACAAGTCAGCCAACTTAAATGGCTCCTGACTCGGACGACTACATTCGTCTTACCAGAACAAGTCAGCCAACTTAAATGGCTCCTGACTCGGACGACTACATTCGTCTTACCAGAACAAGTCAGCCAACTTAAATGGCTCCTGACTCGGACGACAATATTCGTCTTACCAGAACAAGTCAGCCAACTTAAATGGCTCTGACTCGGACGACTTCATTCGTCTTACCAGAACAAGTCAGCCAACTTAAATGGCTCTGACTCGGACGACAATATTCGTCTTACCAGAACAAGTCAGCCAACTTAAATGGCTCTGACCTGGACGACAATATTCGTCTGACCACAGTCTGCAGAGCATCCAGAACAACTCAGCCAAACGAATGAACGATGATCGAGACTCCAATGAGCTAGCCCCATCATCTCCACTACTTATACTCATGTGAGTGAACGATGACCAGGACATAGACTCCACAGAGCTAGCCCGTCCATCTTCACAACCTGATCAAGCGTCGACCGGACGTGGACTCCATCGAGCCAGCCCCTGCACGCTTTGATCCATCACTACTAGAAACATCGGCCGCATCAGCCAGTTCCATCGCCACCTCAAACACACCAACTCAAACTTACACAACTCATTTATGGTTTATCAATGTTGGAGGCCATCAGAGCTACTCAGCTACTCACTTTCATCATCTGACATAGCTTCGTTTCCATTCTCTCCACTCCATGACCCGCCGTCTCGGCCTCCTCATTACTTAGTTCAGTGGATATGTCAACTAACCCTTTAAAGCCTCTGGGTACTGCGCCCAAGTTTTCATGAGAGTATTTTAAAGTGCAATTAGATTCATCGGTATGTTTCAGTTCGTACCTATCGTTGTCTAGAATTTTAGTTATGATAAAAGGTCCCCTAAACTTTCTTTGCAGTTTAGTTTGGTAACATTCGCTACACTTAACAAAAACGTAATCTCCCCGAGAAAGAAAAAAAAAGTTTTACTTGGGCTTTGCCTTTACTAAATTTAACTATTTCCTTTTGATCTGCGTTTTCAGTGTTGAGGGAAGTTTTATTCCGGATATTGTCTAAATCTAATCTCGGCTCGTTTGAATTTTGGGCTATTAATGATATCCCTAAAGATTGCGCGCGAATGCCAAACATTAGTTCTGTTGGAGTATATCCTGTAACACTACGGCTTGTGTTATTAAGTGCTAGATGACTCTCCCAGATCAGAGTAATTTAGTAAGATGGGGTAAAGGTACCGAAAACACTTGCTATATCTGCGGAAAGGCAGTTGGAACTGCTAAGCATTTGCTAGTGAGATGTAAGGTTCTCCTGGACAGCGGTCAATTCTCGCGTCGTCACTATAGGGTTTTAGAGATCATACTTGAAGCGGTTAGCCTTTCGGTAGCCAGAGCGCAAAGGGAAATAACCACAAACGAGCGATCAATAGGTTTTGTGAGAGAGAGCACCAGGGCTATAAAATCAAACGTCAAGCCTTACTCTATCCTTAAAGCGGCTTCGGATTGGACTATCATGATGGATACGTATGAGAAACAACACAAAATCCCCGAGGATATTTGTGCGTCAGCCTCCAGACCAGACATATTTCTATATTCGCGTATTTTAAAGCGCGTTGTGATGATAGAGCCTACGGTGCCTTGGGAAACCAACATCCCCAAAGACCATGCCATCAAGGTCATTAAGTATTACGAGCTCACTAACGAACTAACTCGAAATAGGTTCGTCCGCGGTAGAGGTGGGAGCGAGAGGCATAACAGCCAAATCTCTCTACAACCTACTAAAAGACTTGGGCCCGTCCAGAACCAACATTAATTCATTCTCGGAACGTACGTCGAAAGCAGCCCTAGCAGGTTCCTTCCAAATTTGGCTAGGTAGGGAGAGGAACTTGGACAGTGGAGGTGAGCGTACAACGCGCGTTAGTTAAGGGGCCCCTTAAACCCACACCTGGGTCGCAAGTCCCAGGCACTGCTGAAGCTCCCCTCCCTGCAACGCGATGGACCCGGCACCCGCACGGTGAATCCATTGAATGCTAAGCGGTTTCGTCCCTTGTACCTCAGGAAGTTTGCCACGCCACGTTTTATGGGTATCGTTTTCTATAATAGTTAGCAGACATTTTAAAATCTGCATGACCCTTTCTACTTGACCGTTGGCTTTATTTGCCCCTGTTGTTATAAAGTAAAGTTCTATACGAGGTGTTTTACTCAATTCTCTAAAGTCCGCGCTTACAAAGCCCCTTCCCCGATATAACAATTCGCTTGAGAACACCGAAAAGAGAAACAGCTTTTCTCAACGCTTTAATAGTACAACTGGCATCGAGGGATAGAGTATGCTCTTAAAGGACATACTTGATAACATAATCAATCATTACTGACGCGTATTTCTTTTCTGTCGCTTTTGCCACTTAATGTCCCAGTCATATCTATGTGAATAGTATGCCAATAAAATGTATGCAAATCCGTAGGAGAATTTACATGGCCAAAATAGCAATAACCCCACTGAATAAAATTTGGAGAGATAGGAAAATTATTAATGGAACAAAAATGCATCTGATACGAACGCTTGCCTTCTCTATATTTCTATCTATCTAGCTATCCGATTCTGTATAGTGCAAAGACGTG